AAAAAAAAAAAGATTATTCTGTAATATATTCCTCAGGTTACAAAAAATGTGAACTCCTAAAAATACATATTTACACCATAACTACCATTTCCTCCAATTTTAGAAACAAAAAATATTAGTTTTATTGTAGAAGCATCCACCAAATCTGGAGACGATGAAGACACAGCCCCGACCCTTTCGGAAGAGTGGCAGCACTCCCTGCTTTAGTCCCACCCGGAGTGTGTGAGGCACCACGGGGATCGAAAGCCCAGACCGTGCTTTGGAAATGTAACTCCTTTGCTAAGGGCACACAAACCGCAGTTCAGACCCAATCTCTTCAAACAGCAAAGGGGGCCCCTTTCTCAGGAAATCTGTACAGGAGGCTCCCTCCATTCCCGCCCTGTCTCAGCTACTTTATCCTTTAGACAAAAGAGCCCCAAAGGAGTACTTAGCATAACGTGAAGAACAAGAAACCATCAGACGAAATTGAGGTTTTCCTTAGCTTTGTTAGCAAGATGTGAGCTCAGAATACTGATCAACCTTTCTTTTCTTCTTTACCAGTACCGGGGATCAAACCCACTGAGCTACATCCACAGCCCCTTATTTTTATTTTTCATTTTGAGACAGGGTCTTGCTAAGCTGCTCTGAAAGGACTTGGACTTGTGATCCTCCTGCCTCTGCCTCCCAAAAGTGCCATTGACTGACACTGTACTCGCAGGAAATATTTCAGAGATGGCTCTCTAGGCCAAAGTACTCAGGAATGTTTTTATTTTATTAAAATGTAGTGCATTTACATATGTACATGGGACACCACAATTCATGCATACAATGGTTAGTGATGGAATCTGTGTAACTGGTACATCCATTGCCTTAACTCTGTCATTTCTTTATGATTAGTGCATTAAAATCTTCTCTTCTACCTATTTTGAGGTCTGCAATGCAATGCTGTCAACTCCAGTCACCTCACAGAGCACGGAACACCAGACATTGTTCCTCTTGCCTCATGGTAACCTTTACATGTTCATCACCATCTCCTCTCTCCCTCTCCCAGCCTTGACCACCACCATTCCACTCTCAGTGTCTGTGAAGTCAAAGCTGTAGCTTCCACACGAGTGTACACACTATACTTGGCTTTCTGTGCGTGCCTCACTTCACTTACTACCCTGTCTCCAGGTCTACCCCTGCTGTCCCAAACGGTAGGACTCTGTCCTTTTCCAGCACTGAGTGGGATTCCATTGGGTGGGCATCTCACATTTCTTCCTCCATTCCCCCGCAGATGGACATGTAGGCTGGTTCCATCTCTGGCCGCTAGGTTTTTCACGTTAGAGGCCCAGTGTGCTGTTGATTGCACTATGGAGCCACCTGTGTGGACCAAGGTGGTCTCATTTCCTTTGCATGCATAAAATACCCACTGTGAACACAACAAGGAAAAGCAGAAGCAACGAAAGGGGCTCTTTTCCCTTTCCCTTTCTATCCTTTACATATCTTTATTTTTTTTTTTTTTTTTATGTGCTTGGATTCTAGGGTGGACCGATTTGCCATTGTTTTCCCAAAAAATATAATCTATACTTCTCCTTTCCAATGGATCCGCTCTCAGGTCTAACACCAAAATCAACTTCATTTCGGTGGTGTTTTGGGAAGAGATTCTCCATTAGGGTCAGAGGTTCTTTTTTTTTAACATCTCAGTTTTGTGATACTTGAATTATACCCAGTTACAGGACTCAAACCCAGTGGACGAGGTCCGAGGCCGTTCCCTCACCTCTCCAAGGTGACCAGACCCAGTTCTTTAGGCCTCAGGGAGAGGCTGAGGAAGCCCAGTGTGAGGTTCTAATGTGTTAAGCTTCTCTGGCTTTTCATTTAACTCGGTTTCAGCTGTTGTGCTTTCATTTAAGATGTGAAGTACGTGCTTAATGGAAATAAATTCAAAGAATGCTGCAAAGTGCACGATCAATGCAAAATCTCCTCCTGGTCCTCCTTCCTAACTCACTGTCTTCCTTCCAGGTTAATAGCCACCATTTCAGACTTTTCCCAAACAGAAAGGTAAGCATATAGAAAATGCACGTGTGTGTGTGTGTGTGTGTGTGTGTAATGTGTTTTCTTTTTAAAGAAGGGGGCCATACTTTTCATGCTTTTTCACTTTCACAAATATTTCAGACTTCTTCCCAACCTTGCACATTCATATCCTCCTCATTTCTTGAGATCTGTGTACAGATGCAACATAATTTTTAGGTGTTAAAAACCACACTCAAGGAGATGATACTTGGTGCACTTGTGGCCGTCTGAGGTAAATTCAAATAATGCTGCACTGTAGAATAGGAAGTCACTACACTGTAGAATGTGGGGCTGCTACTTTGTGGAATGCGAAGTCCCTTCACTGTAGGACAGGAAGTTGTTTTCTTGTAAAACATACATATATTCAGCTTGTATAGACACCGCCAGACCTGTGGACCAACTGTCACTTGTCCCAAGAGTACCTGAAGCACTTGCATATACCTTTTAAAAACTGGCTTTTTGCTTGTTCTTTGCTCCTCGAGGTTATGTCCGAAGGAAAGGGGCAGCTGCCTGAGTGAAGGAGGAGGTGCCGCGGGTTGCTGCACACCCGCTCCCGTTGGATGGACCTCGGGTACCCCCTCCTGCCACTCTCTAGGGAATAGCTATCTCCAAGTCCTGCAAATCACTGTCACGGCCGCTGACTGCGACCAAAGTCCAGGATTCAATAAACACTTCCAAACCTGAGAGGGCGGCTCAGCCGGGGACCCGTGGGTCACACAGATGTCAGTCTCTTGGGGTTGGTGATACTCTGCAAGACTCTAACACCTGCCTCAAAGAAGGTATTATTGCTTGCAGAACTGTCAGGCTCTAGGCTCAGACAGCAGTGGACTCCAAGGCCCTGGCACATGGCTACCATGCAGGTCCCAGGAGGACGGCCGGCAGCCTTCATCAGCACCGTCCAATGGGACAGCCTGTGGCCCACCCCAGGCTCCTCTGAGCAGTGGTTCTCCACTTCCAGCACAGCTCATTATGAGAAGCTCATTGTCCAGTACAGCTGGACAAATGCACATGTAATGGGAAGCCACGCAGCGTCTATACTTATCAAATGCCCAATATTCTGAGCTGGTCCTACAACTACATTTTGTGAGCTCCTTCCTCCTCTCTCTTGCTCGGCTTGTCTCTTTCTCTTTCCATTGTTTAGATTTTTTTTTTTTTTTTTTTGGTATGTGCCTGGATTCTAGGGTGACCAGTTTGCCACTGCTGTCTCAGAAAGTGTAACACGCACTTATCCTTTCCAACTGATCCACTCTCACTTCTAACATCAAAATCAACTTCTTTTTGGAGTTTTTTTGGGTCAGGTTCTCCGCTGGGGTCACCTGTGAGAAGCGAAGGGACAGTCCCGAGGGCCCACCTTGGTCTCGGCCCTTCGTGGGGAGCCCCTTCCCTCTCCACGGCACAGGCACCCCGGCTGCGGCCACACAGCTATCTCAAAGGTCTCACCTGAGACTTGGGACATGTCTTGACCCTCATCCGCATCCATTGTCCTCAGGTTACCTGAGAAAGAGAGGAAAGGATTTTAGTTTAAAGCAAAAATACTAATAAGATATGAGAGAGAGAGAGAGACATAAAGAACCCCTATGCTATTTAACAACAAGGTTATCTAGCAAGAATAATGCGTTTCCCTCCTCGCACCATACTTGCTGGGGTATCAGACTGGCACAGACCTTGATCCTTTTAAAAACAGCATTACAAAGATTTATAAAAATATCATTACAAGCACAGGAGGACCAAATTTGTTATTTATTGTTAATTTCCTACTGCATAATAACCCAAAATGCAAACTGACTGCAACAAAATTAAGCAGAAAATTAAATGGCCCTGGGTCATTGTAGGCACAGAATTCATTCTCTTGGCTGATCCATAGTTATGTTCTTTCTAATTTACTGAGCATGCATCGATGAACCTTGAGTCAGCTTGGTGACACGCGTACAATCAGCAATCAAAAAACGAAGCAATTTGCTGAAGAATGTCTCATTTACCCAGGCAGGGCTGCATATCTGAGCAGCGACTGCACTACCCTACCTCCATCAATAATGAATACACCTCCAGCTGGCAGACGGGCGACGCGGGCTTCTGCTCCTGTCCCTCACTCTCGCTCAGCCCGGCCCTCGCTAGTGGGGAGAAGGCGCGCTCACGCAGGCAGCACAGCCAGCCTGAGGGAGGCCCGCAGCCCCCGCCTGGATGGCGACGCCGGCTCCTCGGTTGCTTTAGACTTAGAGGCACCACTTCGAAGATGCTGCCGTCCGTGGCCACACACAGCGAGTGCTCCACGGAAGTCCCAAGAGCTGCTGCAGGCACAAGGAGGGACCCGGTGTCCGCGGGAGAGAGGCCCAGAGAGCTGTGCTTTGCCTCCGGGCTGCTGGCCCACGAGTCTCACGTGCCCACAGTACACGGTGCTGGGCAGCCCCGGGGTGGAGAAATCTGCAGTGAGCAGAAGGGGACCTCGGCGACACCCGCTTGCCCTGCGCTCTGCCAGACAAAACCGAGGAGGGCTTCACCAGCTGGCAGACTGAGGCCGTGCGTTCAGCCTACACAGGTCCCTTTGCCCCCCAAGACCCCGTCGTCACAGCCCAGAAGTGTAGATACGAGCTGAGACCTCGAAACTCAGAGGATTCGGGGACCATCCCTTCCCATTAGGCTAAAAACTGTGGGCAGTGTAGATACGTGTGCAACAATATACCATGACAATGCGCATTTGTATACATACAATGTACAATATACATATGTATGCAACTCCTGCCTCTGTGCTCACCGAGCAGCGCTTGGATGAGAACTGAGAACTCATCTCCAGTCTCCCGCGCTGAGTGCAGTCTGTCACGTCAGACCTCTCCAGCCTGCTCTAACATGTCCTGAAACTCCCCGTGCTGGCTGTGAAGTGTACAGAGTTCAAATCTTGCTGAACGCTGACTTCAGTGCCAAATTTTTGTAATGCTGGCTTTGAACTTCCTGCTCCATGAATAAGAGTCTTCACAGCTTTTTTAAAAAGTAAGTGATGTCTGCAATATGCAGTGAGAAATAATCTTTTTTCTATGTGTTTCTGTGCTTTTTACAAAAATATGACACTAAACACATTCCAACATACTGTTTCAAATGAGTCTTTCATTTATGCTATGTATCTTTTTGTTCCAAGACACAGGTCACCATTATGATTTCTTTTTTTTTTTTTGTCTTTTTGAGATGAGGTCTCGCTATGCAGTTCATAGCAGGCTGGCCTTGAGCTCACTTTGTAGCCCAGGCTGGTCTGGTACTCGCAATGATCCTCCTGCCTCAGCCTCCCGAGTGCTGGGATTACAGGTGTGCACCACCACGCCAGGTCTACCATTATGATTTCAATGGTGATGAAACACTCCGTTGATTTATTTACTCCAGTACTGCGTACTCAAGTTTGTTCCAACTAAATGGAGGATATGTATCCTAAGGACGGGCTGGTGGATGCAAACACCTGCAAACGGAGGGCAGGGGACTGATGGACAGCAAGCTCCATGTACCTGATGTGCAGACCTCGTCCAGACCGGAATCCTCAAGATGTGGCCCTGGCTGGTCCCTTGTCCGCTGTGGAGCCCCTGACCCAGGCCATCATTCCACAAAGGGATCCAGGTGCCCTTGGACGGCCTGGGAGAGAGGGGCCACGAGGCCACAGCACCCTGGAAAGAGTCCGGGGGAGCCCACGGGGACAGGTGTGCCCTGCAGGAGGCTGGGAGCTCTGCCTCCACGCGTGTGGGCCGCTGCACTGTCACTGAGCAGCGCAAGGCCACCAACCGCCCTGACAGGTGCTCTCTGGTGACACAAGCGGCCTCACTTCAGTGTTCACACACATTTTCGGAGGCTTCCTGGGCTTGTGACCGGTGCGGCTGCCCAGGGTGTCTGCCCGCAGGGGCTCCAGTCCCATCGTTGTGAAACTCAATAATTCCTGTGCCCGAAAATTCAGTTTCATGGAGCCCTGTGAATTCCACAGCCTATGGCCAAAGGGAAGGAAATCTGGCCTCTCCTGAGATGCAGCTTATCAAACGGCACCCAGTATGCCCTGAAGGGCCCGTAAGGCTCACCCCAGCCTGGCATCCACGAGGTCTGCGTCCACTTCACCCACACAGCCCCTCTTCCCCAGGGAGGTGACACAGAGGGCCCTAAAGTTGTGCAATTCTACCTTGCCAGGGTTTCGGCCAAAAGAAGCCTGTGCTCAGTGGAAGGACTTAAGCCGCAAAGCAATGAATGCTGTGTTTCCCAAACTTCCACCAAAACGAAAGCTCACAGTCAGTAGGTCTGCAAGGGGAGGGGCAGAAGGAACGAGGATTTCACACTTCACAGGGGCAGACCATGATTTTTTTTTCCAGTACCAGGAACTGAACTCACGACCTCACACTTGCTAGGCAGGCACTGCGCTGCTGAGCTAAATATCCAGCCCCCGAACTGTGATTTTCTGCTTTGTAGGGAAACCCGAACCATCTCAGGCAAGAGCCGAGCGAAGCCACAGCAGAAAGCAGCAGTGAGAGGGAACTCACTTCCGCCTGCGTGGCTCTTATAAACATGAATGCTTTTATTGTTTCTCTGGAGCGAGCCGTTCTCAATCTGGCTCGGGGGGAAATAGATGCAAAGATAGGTGCAGGCCAGAGGGACCGGGCCCTGGGGCGAGGAGGACGCTGTCATCACCGCTGTCCCTCCGCTCCCTGCGTCTCCCTCCTGCCCCCCCTCCACCTGCCCTCCGCTCCACATCTCTCACCTCTGCGCCCCGCCCCCAGCCCCGCTTCTGCACATCCCCTCCTCCTGCTGCTCACACGGGGACGGGGACGGGGACAGGAAGGGAGGCCCCACTTTCCCCGTCTCAGTTCAAAGGACTCACACACCACGGACTCTGCAAACAGGGGCAGAAGAACTTGGAGCGCCAGCCAGGCTGGCACGCAGCACGGGGCTCCCTTCCTTGGGACCAGGAAGGCTTCCACCCTGTGCAGACCCCTAGAGCCTCCCAGAGGACCCGGGCCCTTTCCGGAAGTGGTCTCCCGCACCAGGCCTTGCCTCCTTCATAGAGGGCCTGGCAGACCCTGGCTGGGCCGGGGAGAGCTGCACCTAACCCTGGGCTCTGGCTGGCTTCCTCGGAGCATCCCCTTGTCACCCACGCGGCCAGGCAAGGGCTCACCAGGGCCTGGCCAGCATGGAGACCTCAGCACCTCCTTCCTGCCCTCCAAGGACAGTGCTCACAGCTTCTCACAAGCTGAGTCTGGAAGACAAAGTCAACACAAAAAGCCAGATGCCTGGTGGGAGTCACAACTTTCTACCTTCTAGGCTGCCCAAATGTGTGGCGAGTACAGGTCTGCTAGGTAGGAAGGGCTTCAAACTTGCCATTGGACCTATGGCTCGGCAGAAGTTAGCCACTCTACAGTTCAACACGTGTTCCCTGAAAGCCAGGTATGGTGGCACATGCCTATCATTCCAGGAGTCTGGGAGGCTGAGGCAGGAGAATAGCAAGATTGAGCCCAGCCTGTACAGGTCAGTGAGACCCTGTCCCAAAATAAAAAAATAAAAAGGGCTGTCGAAGCAGCTCAGCTGAAGGCCTTGTATTCAATCCTCAGCACACACAGAGCGCGAGATAGAGCGCGAGACATAAAGAGCGCAATTCTCATATACATGTAAACAACTGACTTATATTACTTTTTGGGTTTGTTTTTTAAGCACATGTCTTTGCCCTCCTTTGATACTAGGTAGGGAACTGCGAGCAGCAATATTTACCCACATTTCTGGAGTCCAAGCAAAGGCAAAAAAGGAGCGGACACCAGTATGGGCAGCTTTATTTCAGCGACCTGGGAACGCCTGGCACTTAAGAGGCAGACCGTGAACCCCGCCAGACCGCAGACATCCTGTTCCATCCGCCGTCCTGCTGGAAAGCCTGCTGCAGTGCCCAATGCAGAGCCAGCATCCGGGGCTGTGGGCATGTCTCTAACCCTCACAATGAAGGCCAAGGAGCCACAGTATTATTTCCATTTCACAGGTGAGAAAACCAAGGAGCACAGGAAGCAGTCCGCCCAGCATGGTAGGTCCCGTACACAGCAGACGGGAGGTCTGAAGCAGTGCCCTCTGATGGAGACGCCCTCTCCTCACATTCCCGCTCTGTGCTGTGGTCACAGAGTGTCAGCGGCGCACAGGTAAAGGAGAAAGAGAGGCTCCTTGTATTCAACCAGAACTCAAACATGTTCTTTGTGACACTCTAGTCAGAAAAAACTTTATGGCAGATTTCCTCCCCGTAGCTAAGTACTGTTTACTTCGCCCAAGATATGTTCCTCTTTCCTACACTTGAGTCGCTTTGGGGTTATTTCCTTAAATACCCAATCATGCGTTCTGCAGGGAGTGAGGGTGGGGCTGGGGCGAGGACACGGACCAGGCTTCCAATCTAATGATTTAGGTCGCAGAACTCTTCAATACAACGCGTTATTCCTGCTGAGGGACAAGTCCTTTCGACTTCACACTGGAAGATTTTATTTTTGCCAATCTATCATATCACCATGAATTACACTGTATCTTTTAAAAAAAGGGAAATGTTCCAAGAGAAAGCTAAAGCAATCTGCAGTCTTTGTATGCAGTCAAAGAGACCTTCCCGGCTTGCGTCACAATTTGACAAAACAGGTTGGGAGAGCATAGAAACTTCTCAGCACCCTTATTTCATTGCTGATTCTTTTCATTTTTAAAAAATTAGCTGCCAATCTACACGTTTTCATGATTATTCCAACAGAGCATCGCTGGTGCAAATCACAATGAAAACCAAGATTTAAAATGGAGCGTTAGGAATCCAATTTGGCCTGCACAGAGCCCTCCCCCACACCCAGCAGAGCTGCCCAGAAGTCCAGAGATTTTCCTCTGGGACTCAGAGGAGCTGCTGGGCCCTCCCTCCCGCTCCCTCCCGCTCCCCGGTAGGAACCGATATGCAAAAAGAAGGGTCAGAGGGAACCAAGGGAACCTTTTAAAAATACATCTTGAACTTTGTTGTCCCTGAGAGTCTTCTTAGTAAAGAGGTATCTAAGACAGAGGCAGAGAACCACAAGAGTATTTTTAAATGCCACTACAGAGCCACCTGTCTCAAAGTGAGACAGAAGGAAAGACAGTCCATGCTGTATTAGAAAAACTGTTTTAAAAATAGAGAACGTGGTTGGGCATGATGGCGCATGCCTGTAATCCCAGCACTCAGAGGCTGAGGCAGGAGGATCCTTGTGAGGTCAAGGCTAGCCTAGGGTACAAAACGAGTTCAGGATCAGCCTGGACTACATCATGAAACCCTGTTTCAAAACACCAAAAACTAAAAATTAAGAAAAAAAAAAAATTGAGAAAGGAAGAAAAATGGAGAAGGTCAGGGTGGAAACAGTTCTCCGTAGTTTTCTGTGCTCTTTGCTATTTTTGCTATGGTGGCAGCCCCAGAGCTGGATTTTGAGTGGCCCCAAAGGTTCCCACAGGATGCTCAGACTGTGCTGCCCTTAGGTGTCCCCTGCTCGTAAGCAGAGGACAGGCTTCCTGTCTGCCCAGTGGCACTGTCAGCTCTCAGACTGTTCGCAGACACATGGAGAGGGGCACAGGCTCAAAACCGATACACACTGAGAAAACAACAAAATAACAACAGCACTTCTCCTGATTCGGGCCATCAATGCTGGCAACTCCCTACGCAGCTTCCCTCAGATATAAATGGCTTTTCACACCTCAACACTTAAATACAAAGTCTAAGTTTAGAATCATTTTCTCCTGCACTCTTACTGATATTGAAAGATGTCTAGGCAAGGCCAGGAAAGGTGCAAAAAAAAAAAAGTACAAGAAAATACAACACTTATACCTTTAAAAACATAACAACGGCTCCCAAAACTGTGATTTATACAGATAATCCTCAAAGTGCTGATGGCTTATGAATCACTATGATAAAGTAAGACAGAGGGACCCAGGAATAGATTTTGTTTCCTACGTTTTCCGGTATTTTTTTTTTTTTTCATTTTTTAGGAAGAGATAAATACGAAGTTACAATATTGACTAACACCCTCTTACTCAGCAAGGTAGTACAGTATGAAAGACCAGGCCACCTTATCTTGCCCTTTTAGCATGGAAGGTATCTTAACATACAAGTAAATCATTTCATGTGGACATTTTAAAATTAAAGTCAAAACTAGTATCTGGTAGAAGAATCCATTCATATACCCACAACATTTCAAGAAAATGCATCAGTAATACTGAAGTTTCTACAAGACCATTTCATGTCAATGAAAGGAAAGACGGGTGTGAGGGGTCTTTGGCAAAAACTATACTGAGACCCAAGGAAGTGAAATCATACAGCTCTTCGTGAGAACATCCCATCGCTTGGAAACTCATGTATTTTATTAATTAAAATGTCATGGTCAGTTGATATGCTCCCAAAGGTATTTTCTTAGAGAGATAAACTTTTTTTTTTCATTTTGCTTATAGCCTCAATATCCAGGTAGTACTAAGACAAGAGCTACAAAATGTAGATATAAACACTGAGAGAAAAAGTATTCCAAATCAAATAGAGTATGGGATTCACTGATACACACCAACTACCTGCCCCTTAGGCCTCACTGTGGAAGGCACCCTGGCCACCCTGGGTACGGTAAGTACTTAGCCCTTGCTCCGGGAGGAGGAGGAAGCACGGGCATCCTGGGTGCTGTCCCCGAGTCAGAGTGGCTCTACGGACAGAGTGGAAACTTTTTTAGAAGACAAAACTACCAACTAGCATCAAATAAAATGCAATGGCTTTTTACATAAGAACTATTAAAAATGGGTTTATTTCACATTATAAAACTATGCTCACAGTATGCAGAATGTGGATTCAACAAAAAATTCAGTTCCTTACATCCAGGCTTGGTCTCCTCATGGCTTCTGCTCTGTGGGCATTTGTCCTGCTCACCCCAACTCCCAGCAAGCGCTCCAGGGGAAGCCAGAGGGACGGCGAATAAATGACTGACGGTCCACAAGCCCCCTCCCGACACCAGAGTGTCCTTGATCACCTGCACTGGCTTTGCAGTTGGATTGGGCCACAGGAAAGGTTCAGGTTCTCACTTTATCTCACAAAGGGCAGAGCGCTCAGGGAGGCTTCCTTGGACCCAAGTCTGGAGGAGGCCTCGGGGTGCTCATGCGGCCCCATGGACCACGAGCCAGGCCAAGGGGAACGTGGGTGCCAGCCCGACCGGGACTTTCTGGGCAGACTCTGTGAAGTTCTGTGCAGAGCCTGGATGTGGGGAGGTGTGGGGGTCACGAGTTAAACCTCCCCACCTGTTCATGTGCCCGACGACAAAAATCCGTGTCTACGATCTGGCAGAAAATCTCTACTCAACTGAGACCCAGACGGCATGGGACAGTTCGCTATAAACACAGAGAGACATGGCTGCAGCCCTTAAGTAAACCGAAATGACTGATTTCCCATCTTTTCAGAAGTGCTCATTTTAAGCAAATCGCATTTTTTTTACAAAAGCCCTGTCTGCTCTTAATTAATGTGAAAATTCTTTAAATTCAGGCAAACATACACAACCTTATTGTGGAGCGGGAACACACTCATTATGGAAAAAGCACAAGAAATTTCCAAAGCATTTTTTCAATGGTAATTAACCACCTTATCTTTAGGGACCTGAGATAATTAGCGGTTGGTTGTCATTTAATGAAGTTACGTTCATCAGTGTTTTACACTGAATCTGTTTGGATGTCACTTGGATTTATTTTCTGCCCTACACAAAACTCAGAACAACAAGGAGGGAAAGGTCACTTTTTCAGCTGAAAGTGGGGCTCGCCCTAGGGGGTCAATGGCTCTCTCTCTGGGTTCCCTTAAAAGCTCTGGAGCACTTTTCAGAACGGCTCCGGAGTGAGCTCACAAAAGGTCAATTCCTCATTTTCATTTCTCCTAAAGATTCTAAATTCAACATTTTCCCATGAGGTCTAGGGAAATATCTTTTGTGGAATATCATTTGCTCTAAATTTGCCAGTGAAAATGTGATATAAAACAAAAACAAAACAAAAAAATCATCAAAACCTGGCCAGCCAGTATTTGTAGCAGACTTCTAGCTCTGGCAAAAGACTTCAATTCAGACCAACCAGGCATGATGGCAGTGGCCTGTAGTCTCAGCATGCTGGGAGGCTGAGGCAGGAGGTTCACAGTTCAAGTTCAGCCTGGGCAATACAAGAACTTAGTGAGACCCTAACCCAAAATAAGAAATGTTTAAAAAGGAGTAGGATCACAGCTCAGTTCAAAGGCCCTGGGTTGAATTCTCCTCACTATGGGGTGGGGCTTCTAATCTAAACCATACTGTTCATTTCAAACAGTTTCAAACTAACAGAAAATGCCATAAAGTGTAGGTGTGATTGACTGTGTGACCTCAGAAACAGAGTACAGGCATTTCAATCTATAGAAGGCTTTTCAGAAACACTTTATGCAGTTTTGAGTTGTTTCAACTGTCCACAAACCCTACATATGACAAGAAGGAACTGAGGAAGAGAGAGGACGGAAAGACAGGACAGGACAGGAAAGAGCACAGCAAGACAGCCAGCCGGCTGGCCAGGACGGCTGAGTCCCCGTCATGCTCCCTGCTGTCCATCACCCCGAACCACCCACCAATTACGTCCAGCTTCAGGGAGGGATGGCGGGAAGTGAGTAGTGGTGAGCTGCTCGCTGAAGAAAAATCAATCGCTGCACACTTCAATGAGAAAGTATGAAGAGAGCCTCCTGGCACTAATTAGGACCCATTTGAAGCAATCCGTTAAGCCGTAGCCCCAGCACCAGCCACAGGGAGGAGGAGCAGGGCCCACCCCGAAAGCAGAAGGTGCGGACTGAGCCAGTGATGCTCTCGGCACCCAAGGTGGCTGGCTGGGGTGGCATCAGAGAGGCACTCTGGGTGCAGGCCGCCCCGCAGGAGCACCTCAGCGGACAGGGACAGACTCTGGGGCCGCTCCGACTACATAAGCACGGTGCAGATCCCTATGGGTTCCCCCCAGCCAAGTGAAGCTGCCCTCGCCACCTGTGTCTGGCCCTGAGCCCCTCAGCCGCTCCGAGTCCCTCTGTGACCAACGCACCTGCGAGCGAGCGAGTGACCCTGGGTGGTGGGGTGTGGGCTCCCGTGGGCTCCTGCTCCTCAGGGGTCCCGCTGCCTGCGTCTTCGCCTTCCCCTGGGCACAGAGGAAGGTGGGCCCCGGTGTCGCCCGTATATGCAAAGGAGGGAAGCTGGTTTTCTCTCAGGAAAACACACACAGGAAGGGAGTCTGCTTCCTGTCTCAACCAAGACTGAGTTCAGAAATTATCTGGACCTCTGATTTGTCAGGCTGGCCCCGGAGAGGGGAGCGTTAGCCCTCAGGACTGGAGAGCTCCCCAAAGGCAGACACTGGCCATGCGGAGGAAAGACCGGCCCCAGCATGGAGAGGACAAACCTGGCTCCACACCTGGAACCTGGGGTTTGCAGCATTTTTTAGTGGGTCACCAGGTGGTTGGGTGAAGCCACTCAGGCATCCACATATTTATCACAGTCAAACAGGAGAAACGGAAAATGTCAGCTGACACATGTTGCCAGTGATCTGCAGATTAGGTCTCGGTCTCCCTCCCGTTGCTTCCTTAGGAATAACCACCATGAGCCCCCTAACAGGCTCAGGCACCCGCTCCTTGGCGGGGAAACTTTCTGCAGAGCTTCCACATCTTACGTGTAATATGCGTTGTCTCATCAGGTATTAAAAATGTTTGTTACAATACCCTCAAACCCCAGGAGCTGTGTCACTGCGTCAAACAAGAGCAAAGCCATGGCACCGAAAATCTAGGCACAAGGACACAGGTGGAGGGAGATGGAGCAGAAATCGGAGGTACGGAGCCGTTTAAAGAAATCCGAGGAAGCCACGTTCCCCGTGCAGGACATGGGAGTCACATTTAACCAAAGCCACAGGTGCAGCAGCTTTGTTGCTGTTGCTATAGTTAGGGCTGGGGGGCCATGAGTACCCCGTTCTTCCTGGCTGAATTTTAAGAACATGTGTGCAGGGAGGAGGGATTAATGGGGATCTTTTGCAACTCAACGTTTTTAAGATCTGCATAAAAGCACGCACGTGCCATTTCTGAGCAAAGTCGAACCATCTCTTTCAAGATGCGAAATGGATTCCTGCGTCTCCTCTTGTGTACGCCTAAGGATGGGTCACTTGTTGCTTTTACAGCTCGTGTTGTCCCAGTGAAATGGAGTACACAACGCACACAGGAAATGAGGAGCTCTGAAGTCTCTGTGCTCGGGGTTTGGGGACCTCAGAAAGGGAGGCTGTGAGAAGCCAGGCAGGCACGGCAGCAGCTCTGGCTGAAAGCAGAAACCACAGAGTCCCCAAAACACCTCCCAGGCTTAGAAATAAGGTAGCAGAAGCCGTGGGTTTCCAGAGAACTCCAGTGGCTCTTGCTTTGCTCTCTGTGAGCTGGATCCACTTCCATAAATCTCCCTTAGTCTAGGATAAGAACCAATGTTTATTTCAGAGTGGAATTGTGTCATAATTCCAGAGACCAGAGAGGAAAACAACACCACCTAAGGGTGCCAGCCCTGATACATTCTTGCAGAGCTGCAGTTATGTCACATGCAGATGAAAACTTAGGCAAACACAATACTCACTTCATGCACGCCCAACTCACCCCTATAAATAAAGAAATCCCTTTTGTTGTAATAAAAGGTAAAGAAAAAAAAAAAAAAGGAGCTTCATTACTCGGGTCAGGTTTGCTGGATGTTAAAACTCTGCTCCACGCCGCCTTCCTCTCTGTCTTGCTGCTCGCTGGGTGCATGCCCTGTGTGTGTATACATGCCATGCCTTGGTTTGCTGTCTATATCAAAGCAGGTAAATCTTAAAATATAGGATCCTCTCAAGCTCCAAAAGGTTTGGCACTTACACTGACAATATGCTACTCCATTAACCAAATGTGAGTCACACGTATACAAATTAATGGGGAAATAAATTCCTCAACCAAATACCACCATCCCCACACTAAGTTTCTGGTGAAGTAAAGAAAATGTGGCCAAAGGTCCTGCAGGACTTGAGATATATTAGCCAATAAACTCACTGTGATCTTAATATTTCAACAAAGGAGCTGAGTGCAGCCACAGTTTGCTTTCTCTTTAGGAGATCATGCTCAAACTTCTCAAGAGTCAGACACAACACACCCAGTTTCACACACATCCCAGGGTCTCCCGAGAGGTCCCGACGATGGGCTATGACTCTGATGCTCCTGAGCGGGGAGCAAAGCAGTTTCCCAGATGTAGCATAAAGTAAAACTGGCAGATCACACAAGCAGCCAGGAGCTCTGAGCTCCAGCCCTCAACTATCACCACTGCACAAATGGAGAGGAAAACAAGACCACTGAACGCAGTGAGGTATTTTGGTCGTCCACTCGTCAAAAGGGTATGACCATGTATATTCATAGGAAACTTTGAAATTGAACAGATTCTATCAAACCCGATGGCACGGGTTTTGAAATGTGACATCATCTCTATATGTATGGATAAAGTTATTTCTGTAATATTTTCTGCACAGTAGCAGATACCAGGGTGACCTGGGGAATCTCCCTGCCAGGAACATTTATCCCTGTTTAAATTTGAAGCCACGTAGCAAATAATCCGATGTGTCACTGAAACAATTCTGATGCATGCTAATATAAATAATACTGAGTGTTACTTTTAAAATTCCCACCTAAGAGATGGATCTAATTAACCTCATCCACCAAACATCTTCCAACAAAGAAAATCGAGAAGACCTGGGCATTTCTCTCCCTCCGTTTTCGAATCAGAACCAAAATCAACCAACCCTGAAAATCATTTGAATTTCTATGGAAGTCAAAATCTTCACCATGTTAGGTATATTTTTTATTTCCTTAAAATTTCCACTTTTGATAGAAGTTGATATGAGTAGTAAGGTCATATTTCTCCAGCACCATTTTGTCTCCGGAAATTTAAAACAAGGTACCTCAAGACTGAAATGCACTGCAGCAGCGAGGGGAAGTATTCGCGGGTGGGTCGGGGCAAAGCCCCGCAGTAAAATTCCCGCTGGGTGGGCTCCAGCTCTAGGAAGGGCAACTGCACTTGAAAGCTGCACAGGATCAGCTCTTCTGGGGTGTTGGTCACCGGAGGAGAATTTGTGCCTCTAAGTTAGAAAGCTCAGGAGATTCCTTAGGGAGCATCAGGGACGCTCCACGAATTGTAAAACTACATTTCAGGTGACCCGCAAGCGACCGGATCCCTCCTCCTTACGGAGGGTTTTCCTGAGTCGCTTTCAGCACCCCAGCGCCCAGCAGGCTACGAGGAAAACAGTCGCTAAGTTTTCAAAGCCGGGACAATTCCCGTTTCGCAGAAAGCAAGCTCGGGTTCGATCTCAGAAGCAAAGTCTTTGCAAAAGACTTCATGACAGCTGACTTGTGGGAGCTCGCTTCCCCGTCTAAATGTTCACAGGTGACCTGCAGCGGGGCCGTCCTCGCGGGGGCGGCGGGGCGCACCGCCTGGCGCGGGCCCGGCCCGAAGCGGCGGAGGCGGCGGCGAGTCCGCGCTGTCCGCTCCGCGCGGCCGGAGCAGCCGGGCCCGGGACCGCGAACGCCACCGCCCGGCCTGCCCTTCCTTTCCTGCCCCTCAAAATTAAAAAGCAAAATCCATCAGTGACCCCAAGTTTCCTGCTGAAAGTCAATTTTAAAGCACTCACGTGGCGTCGTGCGTCGCGCTCCGGGCGCCGAGACGGGTCCTCGGGGCGCGGCGCAGCGGGGGCGCCGGGCTGGGGAC